TATATATTTATTTATATATATATATATATATATATATATATATATATATATATATATATATATAGTATTTTCAACTTTTTTCAGTTTAAATATACATTTTAGATGTTTAAATATATATTTGACACTGCAAACAGTTGTATTCTGAGTTTGGCAAGCTTGGGGTCTCCAATGAAAATCTAGGGGTCTTCAATGAAAATCTGGGGTCTTCAATGAAAAGCTTGGGTGTCCGATTATAAGCATTGGGTCTCCAACGAAATTCTGGGGCCTCCAACGAAAATTTGGGAGTCTCCGATGATAAGCTTGGGGACTCCTATGAAAAGCTTGGGGTCTCCAACAAATTCATAAAGTCGAGCTATTTTTGATCAATTTTAAGCAATAGAACAAAACCATTTTTATGAAAAGTGTGCAGTATTCCTTGATTTTGAATTTCTTGACAACGAGTTAGATAAGTTTGTTTTCAATTACTAAGGTACTACTATTGGTATAGAATAGACAACAAACACATGGCTGAACCCTGATTGGATCAGGCTCTAATGGACTCGGCATACAGGAGTGGTACCGTTACTATCTTTGCATGGAGGGTCACTTAAAATTACGTTAATAGTCCCTTTCCAAATGATTTAAAATGTAGAATGAAGATATTCCTAGGTTTAGATGATTTTAATTCTTCCCTAAATTATGCACAGTTTAATTAGGGTTAGAAACTCTCTCTCTCTCTCTCTCTCTTGTAACCACCCGGAAATCTTATTTAACATTTCTGATATTTTTCGTAACAAAAACTAATAATTTATAATTTTCCGTATTATCTTTTTAAAGTTTGTTTAACCTTCACATAATTTATATATTTTTGTATTCTGTCAGATAGGTTTAAAAACTCTAAATTGAATTGACCTTGAACTTGGACTCCCCTATCTCATCTCTTTTGTAATCTCTGTCTGTCAGTTTAATTGTGTGTCCGATCAAAACTCATGAACCCCTCTGACCAATTTTCCTCACATTTAAATTGAGGAAGTAGGCTTGAAGTAAGTTGCATTTTCTAAGCAAAGCTGGGTTCCAAAGCTAGTTTTCATGTAAATTGATTTTCTACATAGTATCTAGATTGGAGGGAAATTGATTTTATAAATTACAACATAGGAAATCATTTTAAAATAAGTTATATTGTTATTTTTTGAAATTTTGTATTAAAAAACCTTTAATATTACCCAAATTAAAACAACTATAACATCTTTTCTTAATATTTCAAAAATAATCACTTGTTAACCCTATCTCTGCTGGGGTACTTGAAAACCATGTTTGATGTCCAAATATGACAAATGATACATCATTGGAAAGCTCTTGTGCTCTACTTTTAGAATCTGAAAAAAAATTTGCAAATTTGCAAAAGCTTAATTTTTATCGCAAAATCCAGTTATATAGTGAAAATGTTTGCAAAAAAAAAATTTGTCAAAAAAATGAAAAATTATACATTTTTGAAAAGCCCTTGACCATGCCATTTCAAATATGCAAAAAAATTTTATCAAGAAAAACTAAAAATGTGCAAATTTTCTTTGACAGGTTGTTTGCAAAAAATTTGCAATTTTTTTTCGCAAAACTTGTGTATTCAGCACAACAGCTGTGTACTGAAGATAATTATATTGTGTGTACATGGATGTATACCTGGAGTCTATAATGATCTGAATGAATGTGTATAACATGTATTCAGCACAGCAGCTGTGTACTGAAGATAATTATATTGTGTGTACATGTATGTATATCTGGAGTCTATAATGATCTGAATGAATGTGTATAACATGTATTCAGCACAGCAGCTGTGTACTGAAGATAATTATATTGTGTGTACTGTATGTATATCTGGAGACTATGATCTGAATGAATGTGTATAACAAGTATTCAGCACAGCAGCTGTGTACTGAAGATAACTTTGGCAAAACTTTGTTTACTTTCAGAATTTAAAACTTTAGTCACCAAAGTACACAAACTTCAGAAAACAAGAAAGTGTTTTGGTGAAAACGCAAAATTTTGGATAAAAGACTAACTTAGAATTGTTAAATGCAATTTTAACTTTAAAGAAACTTATTTTGCTATAAATTAATATTAAAATTACATGTTTACGGTCGATAATTATTAGTAAAATGTCAAAGGCTTTCCAAGAAGCTAAATTTTATCAAAATCTGACAAGTGGAAGTGGGTCAAAACAAAGTTTTAGTTTGTTACAGGAAACAGCGGTCATTCAGGCAGCGTGCCTGAGGACTCAGGCAGTTTGTATTAAAGCCCTGTTTTAGGCCTAAAGGAGGGCTTTGGGTTTGTAGGAAAAGTCAGAAAATTTCAACAGCCTCAGACCAATACTTTTTGAGTTATAAAAAAAACTACAGGGGGGTTCAAATTGACCAACCCCCAACAGGAATAGGGTTAAGAAATTGTTAGATCAAGTAATTTTGAGGAATATTAAGAAATTTAAAGATTAGATTTTCCGAAGAAAACAATTTATATTCAGCAACTGGAGGATATCTACAAGTAACAAGGACAAACATTAATATTGTGGTGGAAAACCCAATTATTTTTCTCTCTATTTTATTATTGGAAAAAACATTAATTTTAAACATCATTTATGGTTGAAGGATTTTCCTTCAGAAGGATAAGAATAAAAACTGCACATTTTTAGTAAAACAAGATTAAAAACGTTTAAGTTTTTTAAAAAGTACAAGCAAAGAAGTGGTGTCACAAATATTTTGGTTTTTTACAACCTCCATATTTTTTCAATACTTTCAAACTATAGAATTTCGTTAAAATAGTTTTAAGTTAGAAATATTAAAGGTTTACACCACTAGGTTACAAAAATATAAGGTTTTTAGTTAGAAATATTAAAGGTTTACACCACTAGGTTACAAAAATATAAGATTTTAAAATTATAGTTTGAGTCAAGGGATCAGTTCCTCACCATGTATCTAATCTAAAAGATTCAAACTTATCTTTTTTGTAACAAAATAAACAAAAACTGTGGCCTTTTGTATTATTGCTATTGCCAATAAATTGTTGTATTTATTTACAAATGAGGTTTGCATAATTAATCAGACTAACCCTGGATTAACCACACGCAATTCTTCTGTGTAATCCATTAATCAACATTATAATTAATTTAACCATAGTCTCGTAGTTTACTTTTCTTTTTAAAGAAATTATTATTTTATTAGTCTTAACACATAACACTTTACATTTAGTTAGAATTGTAGTTAGGGATGGATCGTTTACACTTTTTTGAAACGATTGTTTTTTTTTTTAAAATATCATTATTTACGTACGGTCGTTTTTCTTTTATTTTAGAAACGATAGTTTAGAAAACTCTTGTTTTTGACAACGATTTTTTTTCATTTTTTAAAAACGATAGTTTTTGAGAAAGACCCTTCGTCAACGACAAACCTTCGTTAACGTCGACCATTCGTAACGACAACCCTTCGTTAATATTGACCCTTCGTTAACGAAGACCCTTTGTTTAAGACCATTAACGACGACCCTTCGTTAACGATCGTTAACAACCTATTAAAAAGAAAATACATTTTTGTCGTAAGATCTGAGGTCAGAAAACATTCAGGTTATTTGTCTCGTTAAAAAAACATTCAAGACAACATTCATAACCTTATCTTGTCATATGTTATCTTGTCATAAAACATTAGTGGAAATTTTTTAAAAACGATCGTTTTTCGTGTTAAAAAATAGTGTGTTTAAAAAAACGATGGTTTTAAAAAACGATCGTTTTTTGTTTATTGAAAGCTTAAAATGAGTGGTTTGTTTTCAAAAACTTTAGTAGAAAAAGAAACACGAAACGAAGAACGATAGTTTTTAAAATCAATTAACAACCCTAGTAGTCAACAACTTTCGACAAAGTTTATTGTTTCTGGTATTCAAAGATACCAACTTAGAAAGTATGACTTTTAAAATATGAAACTATATGTTTGGAATGATTTAACACTTTAAAGGCTTCTGAAGATTCATATAAGGCTTCAATTTTCAATATTAATGTAATTTAAAGGGAGTGACCGGCATGGCATAATTTTCAAAAAAAGCCTCCATAATGGGCAATTGAGGATTTTAAAGATTGATTTTGCTATAAATATTATTCAATATGAAGTGAAATTAATCAAGGCAATCACTCGTATTATTAATATTCAACGAGTCGGTTTTTCTTACAGTTTTATTATTTACAAAGATACAAAAACTAAAAAGATGATACTATACGAATCAAGTATTATGAATTGAAGTTATTTCAGAGTGATGGGGAATCTTCAAGGGAACCTCTAGTTAAGGGAGCTGATGATCAACTAAATCTTTTCCCTTCATTTCGCTCCACCCTGGGCTCTCATTTAACCCTAGTTCCCCGGGAGCTGGCCGGCTAGCCCCCCAGCCCCCGTGCCCCTGGAATAACGGAACTTTCAGCTTGGCTTGGGTTATTTATAGAATTCACATGCAAACTCAAATAAATCCGTTAGGATTCAAAATAGGATTCAAAAGTCCAACCGAAGGGTATAAAGGGGGGGGGGGGGGAGGCCCCTAGCCAGCTATGATCTCAGCGATCTAAAAAGATCCTTGAATCGCTGATCGTAAAAGATCAACAAAATCACCCATTGTTACAATATACCGCAAAAACGTCTCATTGGTCTCAAATGAATCCTTTACAACTGCACTCTACCATGTCTAGGGGTACTCCCTTTAAATGTCTAGTTTAAAAATGATATATTTCTAAATGATCTAAACCTGTCAACTGTGCCAACTGAAAGAAGAAGTGTTGAGTAAAACTCTCAATGTTGGCTCTTCTCAGATTTCGTGCTCAACCTAAATATTTTCCTATTCTAGTTCAAGACTTGATTAATTCATTTCATTTTAACATAGTTCTCAGCTCACGGTTCAATCAAATATCTGATTGAACTCATTTTAGATTTAACGTTAAGAGAGAATGCATATTTTTAGATATCAAAGTTTTAATCCAAATCAAATATTTCAGAAAATGCGGGAACATGTTTCACCTAGTTTAAAAATGGTCGCATAAAGGATTAAGATATTTATATAGAAGATTCCAGAACAATGAAGTTTTACAGCCTGATATCAATCTATCTGGCGGGAACAGTGTTTCTTTTACTTCCGGTTACAAGGTAAGTCCCGGACATAAGACAAATGAGTTAATTTATGTGATTGTGGTTGTTTGATATGTTTCTAATATCTTGCAGATTTGAAATACTTTGAAACTATACCTGACAGATGTTTGAATACTTAGAAGAGAAATGAGAACTCTATTAACTGTTTCAACATAATTCAACCATTTCTAAACAGACTGGGAGAGTTTACAGTTTGTGGGAAATATTTTACAAAACCGTTAAATGTTAAACTAGCAGGAGAACCCAGCTTTGGCTGGAGTTGTCCTTAAAAGGCACCGACCACTCATTTCACGCACCTCTGCCCCTTTAGTAAAAGTAAATTCAACCTTTTATGAAGCGTCAACCAACTGTTGCACCGGCTAGTCCCGTCCATAGAGCTAGGTACAGAACAAACTGGGACCGGAAAGGTTTACCCGGCTCGGAAATTCAAATTTACTTCGGCTGCCCGGGATTTTAGAATAAAATACAGAAAGACAAACAGCGAACACTCTTTTATATGTTAAAAACTCGAATTCAAGGTTCCTTTTTAAATAATACTTTCCCTATCTAAAAAATAGATATATTGCTATTAATAAAAAGTAGATTCTTCAACTTTTTTAGTGTGGAATGCGTCAAAATATGTTTTATTGCAGCGTCTTTAAACTAAATAAAGTGACTGTAAGCTAAATTTCAAGTTAACCTTCTGAAGCTATACCAATGCCCGATGTTCCCTGAAATGTTTAGTCTATTCAATTGTGAATTATGTTTATAATTTATGAAACTAACTATTTTTGATTGTGGTTTCTTTACAAAAAGTGAATTGCGCATTTCTTGTTCAGGAAAACAGACAGAATTAACTCATCAGATTTAAAACTGTTCAAGCTAGATCATTTTCCACATCATATATCAGATAATGTTTCAAGGGTATCGATCCTTGAGAAATAGGGTATTGTCATCTATGCATGGAGGGTACCATTAAATTACGCTATTTAATAACTAAACAAAATAACTTTCCTGAATTTTTGGTTCCTGCCGTCGTTTAGCTCCTAGAGTGAAACATGTGTAAAATTTATATGTATTCACAATTGTGATTCATTTTTAAAGTCTAATCAATTTATTTACTTGTGCTTTTGTACCATTAAAAGCAATCTGTTAATTTAAAAGTCAGTGATGGTGATGGACCAAACCTCTGTAGAGTAAAAAAAGTAGATGTTAGTTTCACGTTTATGGAAAATATATTTCGGTCTGGGTTGACCATAGTTGACCCGCGTCAGTTCTAACCATATGATAACCATCAAAATCGATAAAAATAGATAAAAAATTGTTGAAAATCACAAGAATATAAACAAACAAAAGGTAATTTGAAAAAAAAGATTGAGATGTCAAATGATATAGAAGTGAAGCGAACTCAGATTATGAGATGGAAAAAAGATAATTTGCAAATATTTACTTTAAAAAAAAAATTTTGTTCAAGGAGGGGTATTTAAACCTTTTAAAGAATTGGACATAAACAATACTCTTTTTAAATATACTGAATTACAGATTACAATTAAATACTGTTAAGGTTGGGATGTGTTTTATAATTGTTAAAGGGAGTGTCGTAATTTTAAGAAACACTTAATCTAAAGAGGAGCAAGAACCTTTTAAACCTTTATCTGATCATTATTGTGTAAGATATCGACGTTTTTCTGGTTTGAAAACTTTAAATTAAAAAAAATACCCAAACTGTTTTTGCAACAAAAATCCGTAAATATTTTTTACAGAAAAACCAAAACTTTAAAAATTTGTTTTTAAAGAGATATACAGGGATATCTCACTCATTCTAGATCGAACAAAGATTTTGAGGGCGCCGTTGTAAAACGAACCTGCCTCTCTATAAATTACGTTTGCAGTCCCTTTAAATTCTATTATTCCTAGGGGTGGTAATCCTGACGCAAAGCGCCTGTATGACGACCTGTTATCTAACTACAACAAGTTGGTTAGACCAGTCTCAAATATTACAGAGGCCGTTACAGTCAAGCTCAAGCTCAAACTCTCTCAGCTCATCGCTGTGGTAAGAATTAGTCTATTCCTAATCGTGGTGGATTGGTTTACGAAAAAAATCTATAAAACTTTCAAAATTGTATTATATTAATTATTTTATTAAACTTTATTCGAAAAAAAATAAAAATTGGAAAACTCTCAAAGATGATCGTTACAGCACGTTAGTCTTTGCATCGTTTTTAGGTCGTTTTTTGCATTTATTTTATACCAGGGACAAATTTTGACATACTTATAAAGGCGAATGTTCATAATGAAAATAAATAAAAACATTTGCCAAATTTTGCACCTGAAAGAAAATCTTTGCAAAAAAAGATGTTTGTTAAAAAAATGATGTTCATGTAACAGCGCGCACTGCAAATTAGACAAAAGGAGAAAGTTAAATTCAAGCACCTTTGTGACCATCGTAGCTCCTCTAGTTTTAATTTTACGCACAAGTATGAGAAAGCAGATTTTCCTGGTAAGTGTCAGAAATTAAAAACATGTTTTCTCTTCTCAATATATCTTCAATAAGAGGAGTTAAAGATTTCTATTTATAAAATTAACTTAAGCATAACGTGGTAAGGTTTGTTACATAAATTCTAGTGCAATAAAGAACATTCACGCATTTCAATCTCGATAACCATTACAACTTTCTTTTTAGATAATTTGTTTTGTCGAAATAATACGTTTTTACAATCTTACAATCTATTTAGTAGTTTGTACAAAGTAAAGTTAAGTGAAGAAGCCTTTATCTTGTTTTTTTTGGTAGTAAAGTGAAGAGACTTAATCTTTCCTACTTTGACTATTTAGTAGTTTATACAAAGTAAAGTTAAGTTAGGCCTTTATCTTGTTTTTTGGTAATGAAGTGAGACTTAATCTTTCCTACTTTGACCATTTAATAGTTGATACAAAGTAAAGTTAAGTGAAGAAGCCTTTATCTTGCTTTTTGGTAATGAAGTGAAGAAACTTAATCTTTCCTACTTTGACCATTTAGTAGTTGATACAAAGTAAAGTTAAGTGAAGAAGCCTTTATCTTGTTTTTTTTTGGTAATGAAATGAAACTTAATCTTTCCTACTTTGACCATTTAGTAGTTGATACAAAGTAAAGTTAAGTGAAGAAGCCTTTATCTTGTTTTTTTTTGGTAATGAAATGAAGAGACTTAATCTTTCCTACTTTGACTATTTAGTAGTTTATACAAAGTAAAGTTAAGTGAAGAAGCCTTTATCTTGTTTTTTTTTGGTAATGAAGTGAGACTTAATCTTTCCTACTTTGACCATTTAGTAGTTGATACAAAGTAAAGTTAAGTGAAGAAGCCTTTATCTTGTTTTTTTTGGTAATGAAGTGAGACTTAATCTTTCCTACTTTGACCATTTAGTAGTTTATACAAAGTAAAGTTAAGTAAAGAAGCCTTTATCTTGTTTTTTGGTAATGAAGTGAAGAGACTTAATCTTTCCTACTTTGACCATTTAGTAGTTGACGCAAAGTAAAATTAAGTAAAGAAGCCTTTATCTTGTTTTTTGGTAATGAAATGAAGAGACTTAAACTTTCCTACTTTGACTATTTAGTAGTTTATACAAAGTAAAGTTAAGTGAGGCCTTTATCTTGTTTTTTTTTGGAAATGAAATGATACTTAATCTTTCCTACATTGACTATTTAGTAGTATAATAAGGTTAAGTGGGGCCTTATCTTAGTTTCTTTTTTTTGGTAACGAAGTGAAAGTTAATTTTTCCTACAATAACTATTTAGTAGTATATACCGGGTGTCCTTTTAATATTGCCAATTTTCATGCACAATTAGTTTTATCTAACCCGTCAGACCAAAGAAAGATATAACTGCGCGTGAAACGTTTTATCGAAATACTGGTGAATATGAAAACTGATATTGTGTTTTTTCTGCAACACTTTGTTGCGGATATTTTGTTACATTGCAAACTGTTCATATACAGTTCCTCAAATCTTTTTACAGATTGTAAAAATTCCAAAAAATGACAGAGAAATAGCTGTTAGAAAATTCTCAGATTTAAGCGGACACCCTGTATATACATAGGTTGGTTAAGCGAAGCCTTACCTTAGATTCTTTTTGGGCAATGAAGGCACTGTGATTTAAAGATCTCAAGTAAAAATCGATGAGAATTTTGCCAATTATTTCTTTAAAACCAAAGCTAACAACAAGTGCTTTACAGTGCTAAAATGTAATTGTAAATTGCTAAAAAAAGGCATAAGTGAGTTAGAACAGTAAAATCAATGCCCAAGGCTTTGCGACACTTCAAAGTCGACCCTGTCAAACAAAGTTTATCTTTCCTACTTGATATATCAAGCTAAGTTTCCTATGTTGATTTTAGTTTGTGAGTGGAGCAGTGTAAGCTGTAAGATTTATAGCATTGATTGAATTGATGTAGGCGATGAAGAGAATTTAACATTTAAAATTAAATAAAACAGAATGTGATTTTAAACACTACACTATATTTTATCACCCTTGTCCAATTCCTAAAACCGAAAATTAATTTAACGGATTCGTCAGATAAATTTCAAATAAAAAATTATAAATAGTATTCCATTACTAAAAAAAAATGATCTTAAAACTGGAGCTGTACATATTTTCTAGTTCTGTTTGCCCGCGAATATTTTATATTTAAATTATATGTTAAATTTTCTGAATGCAACCCATCTTCCAAGTAAAGGATGAAATTTTTTGGAAGTTTTTAATACTTTTAGTAAACAATTAAAAGTTTAAAAGGATGAATAATTATAAAATTCTTCTGAACTTAAATTTTCTTTTCAAGTTTTTAGAATTAAAATGTACAAGGTAAAGATAATATGAGAGTTCTTGCTTAACCCTATAAAGGATGGGGGGTCTGAATCTATGCATATAACTTGGGGGGAAGCCCCCACCCATAGAAAAAGCTTTTAGAGTATAGGTATAGCTAGGGTTGTAATGAATATTCAACGCCCATTTATTAAGGCTAGCTAACTTAAGTAGTAGTAGCAGGAAGATTTGAAAAAAGTGCTAAGAAAGGGGTCGGAAAAATGTAATACAATTTTTTTACCCCAAACATTGTTTCTTGGTGCATTATGAACAAGGTGGACATTCTATTTTTTTTTGCCACGGCGTTTGATAACGAACAAACAATTAAACACCTATGCCAAATGTAAGAATACTTTATACAACAAATATGTATAACATATATATATAATTCCCCTGTATTTAATGTATGTACATTAAAATTCCAACATTATCTTACCAAAATGCACAAATTCATTCTAACCTTTGTAAAACTCTAAAAACCACTCGAAATCCCCCTGTAATCTCCCAAGGGATTTCTAAACACATTCTGCTATTATCATTTTTCTTTTCACCTAATTTGCCTGATATTTACCCCCCCCCCCCCCCCG